ATAAGTATTTTGTTTTGATATATAAGTTGTTCGGGCTTTTCATCTTAAAAAAAAGCGACATTAATTTCTTGACGACCTAATATTTTACATTTAAGATTAATAATAATTTTTCTAAATAAAGTTAATAAAAAGTTTAAAAGTTACATATAAATGTAGTCTAACTTTCGAACCACGAGATACCCATCTAACGGTCTAATAAAATGCTAGACAGTTTTATTGACTATTAGATAATGTATAGGACTATCCTAAATAACGAGTTGGATATTCTCATGTTTTATATTTTTTAAAATTTGTATACTGTAGGCCGAAAGTAATTTTCACTTAATCGAGAGATGTCGCTTGAAGCTGCCTGATGATAGGTGTAGGTAATTGATGTATATTAAAACGGTGTAGTTTTAGATTAATAAGGCGAAGGGGTATGTCATTATCCCAGAACACCCCAGCTTATGAAAGTTTCTCACCTTTCAAAACTAAATCCATGCCACGGTTTGTTTGTTTAGATCAATTATAAAAAAACTTTGCTGTAACCTTTGGGATATGGTAGAATGGTAAGACTAAGAATATCTAACCCAATATTTTGACTACTAGTAGTAGTAGTACTCTGGAAAGGCATATGCCAGTGTTGGAAAATATTAACATGTGAAACTTATTAAACTTTTAAAGTAATTTTTAGTACATCCTGGAGGTTAAAAATGATTATAAAGATCACGACCACAAAGTTCAGAAGAAAAATGTTACCACTGTATCAGTACTACTGTTAGTAGTCTCATTTTAGGTGTGAAAGTTCAGGCTGTTTTTTAATTTTATGAATATTTTATACTATTACTAGTGCAAAATTGAACTAGGGGTCCTTTTGTTTCAAGTGAAAATTGCCAGGATTTTTCTTAAACTGAAAGATTAATAGAATAATTTACTGTATATCTCCTTATTTTATTTCACGTCAAACCACTGGTGTTTGTAATCATTGTATTGTTAGGACAGCGGAAGTCACATGATGCTGATAACACGTGATGAGTTTCTAGAAGGATCGTGAAGGGCAGAGTATTTGCCAGACACCCTCTATTTTAGTATATAAGCCAAGCAAATAAATTGCAGATAAGGAGATATAGAGACAGATAATCGAGTCAAGTCCTAAGTAAAGTGCGTGAATCGTTGTGAATTATAGCATGTGTTTAAGTTAAAGTGACTGTGGAAATTAAGTGTATTGCAAAGTTGTATTGAGCAAGAATAAACTAGTTTTAATTAAGAAAGGACTTGTATGACTGAAGTTTCTCAGAAAGAATTGCAACAGGAAATTAACAAATGAACAGAGACATAACAGTATCATGTATGTAAACTACAAGTACTAGTTTGATAAATACTACTAGTACTTGCAGTTTACTTACAATAATGATTAAATTTTTTTTATTTGTGGATGAGCTATACAAACACCAGTGGTTTTATGTGAAATAAAATAAGGAGATATATTCTAAGAAATTAGTAAACAATTATGCAAATCTTAGTTGATATAAACATACAAACACATACAGACTACAGTATCTTACATAATGGTAGAGAAAGAAAATTATTTAAGTATAGTCTAAATAATATTTCAAAAAATATCCAAAGGGGATTATTATCTGATAAGTTATCATACATATTACAAACACACTAGCCAAACCAGCTAATTACATATACAACTTTATTTGGAGTTATCTATATATTTCAAGGGAACTCTAACCATAAATCAGTCCAGCAGTAAAATCTTTGTATAGGTGGGAAAGTTCAGGCTGTTTTTAATTTTATAAACATTTTATACAAGTGCAAAATTGAACTAGGGATCCTTTAGTTTCAAGTGAAAATGCCAAGGATTTTCCTTAAACTGAAAGATTAATAGAATAATTTACTACTGAAAATGGCTGACAATTCATTTGGAAAGCAGTCCAAGCTCAATGCTGTTCCATGGAAGTATTGCACAGTGTCATATAAAAACAGAAATCTTCTGGTGAAGTTTGAAATTTCTGAGACGTCTTATCAACTTTTTGTTACAGATTTAGTTCATCTCTATTCAGAACAACTTTTGAAAACAGACTTGCATTCTAGAACCCAGGTAAGCCATTAAAATGTGTGAATAAATTACATGGAAGATTAGCTGAGTTTTGTAAAGCTACTTTACTTTGTGTTTTGATATATATTATGATCACATGTTGTGTGTAAGTACTTCTTTTTGTATTATATGTCTGATAAAATGTAATCAAATTTTTTTTTTTAGCTTGTTTGTTAATTTCTGGTAGAAATTCTTTCTGAGAAACTTCAGGGGTACAAGTCCTTTCTTGGTTAAATCAGTTTATTCTTCCTTGATACAAACTTTTAGCACACAGTAATTTTACAATCAGTACATTTCCTGTCACTTTAAACTTAACTACTTTTATAATACACTATAAATCACAGCCATTCACAATCTCGAAAACACACACTAGCTCGAAACAGAATCGTAAATTACCCGGAACTCTCCTCATTCCATCCCGCATGCTTTCTCTGCCAGGCTTATATACTAAAAAAGAGGGCGTCTCAAACAAACTCGATCTTCCCCAATATTTCGTCATAATTCAAGAAATTCATCACGTGTTACCAGTGTCATGTGAGTTTCACTGTCGTAACAATACCATGGAAAACAGTTATCAAATAGACTTCTGAAACACATTTGTTTGCCTATGCACACACATGATATGCAGTATTACTACCACTAGCTAAACTAAATAATGCGCAAATAAATTTTTTTTATTACAGATTTTTAAATGTATAAATGTAAAACTCTTATTCATTGTAATCATAAAAGGAAAAGGAAAATTTGACAATAACAGTGTTAATTGATGTTTTAATAATTTTCATAAATTTTATGTGGAATAATTATGATTTTGAGTAAATCGCATATAAATGTGAAGTGTATTTTTTATTTTTGTAACTTGCTATAAAGGGTAAATCGTTTTATATGATATTTTTATCCTTAATATAGAAATTAAACCCAAAGATTGAGGTTCCAACTAATCGTTTACTGCAAGAGATTGAAAGTATTTTGTCAGAAGCTTCGTCATGGAACACAGGCAAGATGCATTATTTGGTTGAAGTTAGAGAAGTTGCCGAAGCCCCTGTTTTAAAAGTAGAGTCGTACCTTGCTGGGGTACCCTTTTTATGGGAATTTTATCTACAGTCTGAACATGGTGAACAGGTAAGCCAACTGTACTTCACCATATTTTGTATATCAAGTAGAGACAATATATTTAAAAATTAATGATTTTTCGGGGGGGAAATTTCATAAACAAATTAATTTGTGCATGATAAAAAATTTGAGCTGAAACAGAATAATGTCTTTGTAATTAAAATCATTTCTTAGTGATGTTTTTTTTTTTTTAGAAATTTCATTTATAACTTGAATCTACACACAAAGTAAGTTAAAGGTAGAAAAGTATTTGTTAATTATCCAGGTTTGCTGATAAATCCGACCACAATCCTCATCATCAGTCTGAAATATCGAAAGTAACGTATTAACATACATGAATTTAATAATATATTAGACAAAACAAGAGTAAAATATACCAATATTAATTTTTACATAGTAGTCCTGGTTAGTTTTCTTGACTGCAGTGCAAAAAAATATTAAGCATTTAAATGTGTAGTGGGTAGATATCCTGCTGCCAGGAACGATCTTTCAAATACTAAATACCCAGTAATCCAGAAAAGACAAAGAATATAAAAAAAGCATTCCAGTACTTAAAGAAGCTACCTGTAAGAAGATTGCTCAAACACCTGAGAACTCCTTTGAATAACTGAAATAAGTTTCTAACTTTACTGCACTCCATAGGAAACAAGTTCAAACTCTAAGCTTCTACTCATAGCATAAATAACTTAGTTGTCATATTTCTAGTAGTCCATCTCTTCACTCTGTTTAGATAGTTTTAATCAAACAACTACATTTATAAGACTAGAAATAACTTGCTTGCCAATTCTGTAATGTTTAATCTCAGGCTTCGGCTTGTGAATTAACAAGTTTTCTCTTATTCAGAGGCTCTGTTCATCATTGGGCCTTGCTAATATCTTAAACCAATTAGAATGGATGACAGTGTCACATTCTCTTAGGTATGTTCAAGTACACTCGACCTAATAGGGGGGACGTTAGGTTAACATTTTCTTGCAGTGGATCCAATGTAGCCTTGCTGTGACAGCAAGGACAAGTAAACTTATAAACTACATTCATTGACTTTAACACAGGAATATGGTCCTTAAATCTAAAAAAAAGACTGTAGTTGACAATTAGATTTAAACACATATCTCAGCTATATCTTTGGATATTTCTTTTGAATAACATTTTTAGACTGATTTTTAATAACTAAAGACTGTATAACTGTGTATGGTAAATTGATGACAAGAGGATATTTTCAGACTTCAAATAAACATAATTTACTAACAGCTATTTAAATAATTATGAAGTAGGAAAATAATTTTTGCACAAGAATTTTTTAATATTATCAAATTCTTTATGTAACAGTATTTTTCCTATTTTTGCATAGATAGAATACTTCATGATTATTTAAATAAGCAAAGAATTTGTAAACCAGATATATTTGAGGTATCTAAATATCCCGTTGCTTTTGGTGGGTAAACATTATTTTATTATTAAAGAGCACAGATAGCCCATTGTGTAGCTTTGTGATTAACTACAAACAAACAATAAACTAAATCAAATTGACCATGTTCTAATGAGAGACATAATTTTCAAATCTGCACTATTTCTGTGGGTTAGATGATTAAACAGAGGGGAAGGTATTTGTACCTATACAAAACACAGTCTAACAGTTTAGCATTTTATAAATTTTAGTCATACAAAATTTTAGGTTTTCCTTGCTATGTGTTTTTAAAAGTAATGTTTTTTTTTTTCTCATTAATTTCAATCCAGTTTATTTGTTTTTATTTGCAACTAGAGAATGTATGAGATATTAAACTTAAATACCCTAAAACTATTAGATGAAGCACATAATCAAGCAGGCTTGCTGATCAAGTAAAAATACAAGTCTCTCCAAAATAAAGCCCCATCTTTGTCACTTTAATACAGAATGTGATGTTTCTACTTTATGCTTTCAAGTAAAAAAAAATTTTGCATGAGTTATCAAAGAACATACTTTCAGTTATTTAAAAATAAATGTATGAAATTAATTTCTGAATATTCATCTGTAAAACAGTCAGTTTCACAAAATGCACTAATCCCCACTTATATTGTGTAAATAAAATAAATTGATAATTATACACACACCTGTATCTAAGTAACTACATGTACCTAATTATGACAAAACCTTCTCACATTATACATTTGTTATTGTGTTAAACTTGTAATAAAGTTTACTTTGTTACCCATTCAACCCATTTCTAAACTGTATAAGCTTATATCAAGTTATCTGATGTCTTATTGTTTTCATACCAACCACATTACTAGAAATGTAGATGTAAGTTTTAAAATTACTGAGTTATTACCTGACTGAGCTAATCATTAAGTTATTTTAACTTTTATTTAGATTACTTTGGGACCATTGGACTCTACTATAAAAAGGAGACATCTTTGAGATGCCTCCACCAATAAAAGTGGAAAATATGAGCAAACATGCATACTGTTTTTGCCTCCCTTTTCCATATACCCTTTATCTCCTTGGGGCTATATTTAAAAATTGTTTATTCATTTTTATATTTTTAGTGTGTTTGCACAGCAGCTTCAACTTAGTTATTTGTCCATATCTGTCCCTATGGATACCTAATCTTGTGGTACATGTTCACAGAGGAACCTCTTTGCAATCATTAAGAATTGCAACTTGTGAGCGCAGTGGTAAATTTAATACGCAATGATATATTTGGGATGATGTCACAGATTATGAGACAGATGTAAAAATTAATGGAGAAAAGTTCCGTACTCTATATCCTGGGATCTTTGAAAAATAACATTCTTTGTTGGAAGCATTTCCATTTTTAATGACATTGTAGGCCAAATTCTGTACTTCTGTAAGCTATCTGTTTAATTTTATGGGTGAAAGGGGATAAACAAGAAATTTTAGTGCAACATTCTTATTTCTGTCTTTCGAATTACTGATGTTTTGTGTAGAAACAGTTTGTTCTGAACTTCAATAATTTCAATTCCTTTTGTTTTTCACAATAGTTCAATAAGCAAGTTGTGTCTCCCCTACTTTATATGGTTGCTGAACTACAAAGACAACAAAGAGAACTTATTGCAAGATTGAAGAGCAAAGATGCTGAAATAGATAATTATAAAGCCAGTGGAGCAACAGTTTCACGAAGTGAGCATTAATGTACATTTGCTAAAATATTTTCTGGAGTGTTTCCCTAAATTCTTCCAGATCTTATAGCAAAAAAAGTATGTAAATATGGATTTTATCATTAACTTTGGCATTGTAGTTATCATATTGAGATACTTATATGCTTTTATACTAGCTTTTCCTATCAAAATCTAAACAGCCTTATATTTTAAACATTTACCTAATTCACCAACTAGTTCAAATGTTTTTGTGTTTTACCTGGAGGTACAGTATTTTCCTTCTTCTCTTAGCTTAAAATAAGGTAAACTATATAGTTTACCAATATTTTGCAGATTTAAATGCTTTGAGATAGCTTGTAGACTCACATATAGGAAACTCACTTTCTGCAGTACTGACCTTATTTTGTGTGCTTAGATACACACGGTTAAGGTAAGTGTCCCACTTATGTATTTTTAGATATTTCTCATGGATAATGTTGGAGATTTATTTTCTATTCTCCAGCAATATTGCTGTGTTTAAGTTCAGCAATGCCTGCACGTTAAACACTCCCTACTTTCACTTGGGACACTCAGTGACACGACAGTATTTTCACAGAGAATTTCTATAGATTTTTCTCTAAAACTTCTTTAGAGAAGGTCTGTCCCATGTCTAGTGCAATGTTTTTATTTGTTTTGTGAGGATAGATTTATTTTACTCTGTTCACATTTTTTCTGTAACTTGGTTGAATCAGATTTTTAGTTTTAAATCCCATACATTGTTTCTTGTTGATTTGTTTTTGTTGAATTTATTGCAAGACTACTCAAGAGATATCTGCATTAGCTATCACTAATTTTAAAGTGATAAACTAGATGGAAGGCAGCCAGTCAACACCACCCACTGCCAACTCTTGGGTTACTTTTTGTCATCAAAGAATGGAAGTGATGATTACATTATAATATTTCTACAGCTGAAATGGCAAGCATATTTGGTGGTATGTTTTGATCCTTTGACCCTCAGGTTGCAAGCCGAACATTATAATCACCTTTCTGCTGGAATCTAGTTATTAGAGGGGCTAATTTTATCTGTTGGAAATCTGATATGGAGGATTATACCACAATTGCCATGGTCTCTTCTCTTTAATGATCAATTTGATTTTTGTTCAACAAAAGCATAAACAAGCAAGAATAATAATCCAATCAAATGTTTTGGAAATACATCAGACAGTCTGTCAATAATGATTGATTGAAAGCGTAATTGTCCATGATGGCACAGCAGTAAGTTTGAGGGCTTATAATGCTAAAAATCAAGTTTCAGTACCAATGGTTGACAGTGCACAGATAGCCCATTATGTAACTTTGTGCTTATTAACAAACAAAACAAGAATTTTATTAGCTTTCCCTCAGTGCTACATAATTATGCATTAAGTTAAAATATAAATATGGATTTTCCCCACTAAAAGTCTTTAGTGTAATTTAGTTATATAAAACATATTGTGAAATTAAAGCACTTAAAATTAGATTTAATTATTGGTGATTGCAAAAAAGCTTAAAATAAGTATTGATACGTATAGAAAGATGTGCAGTTGGTGTTACATCTTAGAGTCTAAGACACACAGTTTGCATAAAAGTTGAGAAACAAGCCTTGGATGTTGCTATGGAAGAAAGTTAACTATAGAAACTTTATTTATAAGATGTTAACTTTATGTAGTTCAAGAATTGATATATGGATTTTTCACAATGAATTTCAATATTGTCTTTCAAAATTACATATTGGAATAAATTTTGTAATGTCAAATCTTGCTCACTTATCTTTTTTCTTTTATGAACTGAGAACAAAGTTTTAAATTTTGTCAAGTTCTCTTGCGTGCTGGTTGGTATCTCTCCCCCTACTGTGACTGGATGACAAATGCCCACTGTTGCCAGGTTTTGGAATCCCTCTTCCTACCGTCTAATGGATGTCAGTTCCTGGTGGATCTGGTGTTGGTTGTAGCTGGACGCAGCACATATTTTCCCATTCCTTTTACTGTGGACTGGAAATACTATACCCATTGCCGTCAGATTTTGGACTGGAGATGTCATCCCGCCGGGGCTTTCCACCTTTCTACTGTTTGCTGGATGTTGGTTGTGTTGAAAATGTGGGCAATTGGTGATGGATTTTGGTACGGAAAGTCGATCTTTCCCTACCAGTTCCTGTTTCGAGGTGAAGAGGTAGGTGATTCTCTACCTACTGTGGATCTGATGTACCATTCCAGATAACACCTGGTATTAAATGAGGTCAAACTACCACTACTGTCTGTCACACCCTCGCCACTTGACACCCTAGAGTCCCATTCATCAGTCATTCATATTCTGGGATTCCTTCATGTTTTTCCACCTCTTATGTTCGTGACACTGTCATAAAGGAGTGAAGAGTATACCTGGATCAGATGTGGTGCAGTTTCCTGCTGACGTGTGTTGTTTTCTCTTTTGGTTTCACACCTCTTGGTCTCTATTTGGGCGTTTCCTAAAGGGGTATCTTTTTCTTTTTTTATCGGCCCTCCACTAGTTCAGTGTGGGACTCTAGCTATTTTGTGAATGGGGGTAAGATATTGTATCAGGAGTTAGCATTTTCCTAAACTGAAAATGTATTTCTGATAGATACTTACCTTTTCTCACATATCCCACCCAGCCTCCCTACTTTCAATGACATATGGTGTAGGTCTTACCAAATCTCAAAGTGATTAACGAGTGCAGATGTGAAGAGGGCACTGGTTGCAATAAGGGTGGTGTCGTACTCCTATTGGTGGACAGCTGCTGCATGATCATTTACATGTGGCATGCATTGAAAATTTTCACTGATAGAGGGCAGTGATAGGCAAGGAAAGCTATTTTGTGAGAAGAGGTAAGTGTCTATCTGAAATATATTTTTAGTGTAGGAAAATGCTAATATATCTATATCTCTTGGATGTTTGCATATACAAAGTTTTCTGTTATAACAATGGATAAATTAGGGAAGAGCAAAGGATTTGATACACTAATTGATGGAGTTATATCAGAAAATTCAACTTAATATACTTTTATTTTCTGATGATTAAAATCAAGTAATCATTAGTATATCAAGTAGTGTTTGAAAATGCATGTTTTTTACTTGTATATAGAACAACAAAATACTGATATTACAGAAGCATACAAAATATGCATTTGAAATAAGTAAGTTAACCAATATTTCTTATGGCTGATCAGTATTTATCGTGAGAGTAATTTGTGATGCAAACATCATATGTATTTCTGACATTGTTGAATTCTCAAGGCTTTCTTTTTTATTTAAACAACTACAAGTACATTAAGCCTTTGGGAGTGAAAAGTTTTCATGATGTATTTGTTAAAAAATTCAGAATCTGTAACTTGAGATTTGAAATAAGTTCTACTTTCACTTTTTTTTTTCTATAGAGCAGATGGAGACATTACCTTTTAATGAAGAAAACTTCAGAAATGATATGAATATAATGAAAGTAAGTCTTGTAATATTTCTATATTATTACCGTTTGTTGGTTTTATTTTTTTTATATTTATATTTGAGTAATTTGGAAATCACCCCATGGATCTGCTCAGAATGATTACTTCCTAAGGTTTCTGAATTATATGCAGAGTGACATGTATTTGAGATATATTAAAAGTGCTTTACTAGCGAGAGCTGTTTAGCTAACCTTTTAGCTAAATTTGTAAAGCACTTGCTTGGCTCTTAACTATGGGTTTGATCCTACTTGCAGAAGATAAACCAAATGGATTACCTCAGAAAAATTAACACTTGGCTAGTTCTCATCCCATATCTGAGATAAGGGCAGAGGATGGGCCTTGTTTGTGAGAGGGCAAGAATGTAGTAGTTTGAGTTGTTAGAAAGTGCCATAATAACAGTGACTAGTGAGTTAATTCTTTAGTTCAGGCAATAAAGAATTTATCTGTTGTGTGTGATAGGTCCTAGATTAAATTCATGTCATGGAGGAGCAAAAGTTTGATTACAACATATGTACATGTTTTCAACAATTAAAAGTAATGACATCCCATCATGATGCTGAAGAATATTGTTATTCTAGAGCTCAATATAGTACTTTTTGCTTACTGACTGTTAGAAGTCCACTCATTCGTATTGTAGGAACTGTTTTAAAGATGTTAGTATGTCAAAACTATTTGTGAAAGAATAAACAAATTCTCATAGAATTGGGTAGCACTTGCTCATAAGACGAACATTATATAGAGGAATTCATTTGTATGGGTGCTTTGTGAAACCATTATTTCACTCTTGACCGTAGGATTTAAAATAGTTTTGGACAATACAAATAATTCATGTTTTATAGCAAATTAGAGTAAAGAAAGCTGTCAATATTATAGTGTTTTAATGTATATGTGTAAAAATTAAGTTCTTAATATAGAGGAAATACAGTTGTTATACTGTGGCATATTCAAGTAAAACTGAGTTAACTTTAAAGCAGTGGAATAGGTCTGGCTAATAACAAGAGGATCAACAAGAAATTGATTTTAAAATAATTCTACATTCTCTGACTTTGACTAAATTTGAGAAAGAAAGAGAATGGACAAAAGGTAAGAACACATACTGAAAACAGTCTTTATTTATGGTCAAAAATACGATAAAAATGATGTGTATGGGACAATGCCTTTATGATGTAGTTAGCTCTGTATGCTCTTCTAAAAACTTATAAAAGATGTTTACTAAGATTTAGTTAATGTTACAAGGGCATTGCTGTTTACATAGAAAGGACTTGAATTTCACTTCGTGAGGGCTCGAGATTGAGAGAAACCTAACTAAGAGATCACAGTATTATGTACCAAATTCTATATCACTATATTCCCAGTACATGTGTACCACCTATATCAATGCAGGTCAATCCCAGTGAAATATAAGGGAGGTTATAACCTTGAGTTATCACCTGACCTACCATTTGAGGACATAGTGCTCTACATTCTTGCAAAACATACAGCATTAGAGTGGTATATCCATGGGTATAACAGTGTAAAATGAAAGTACCCTTCCTACAATAGCATTTAAATAAAAGCAATTAACACAACTCTTCAATACTGCACAGATCATTGATAAACTGTCATTGAAATTACACTACATGTAATGAAGCATACAAATTAAAACTCTTAACAGTAGTCACACTAAAATATACACATACATACACAAACATTCTGTTAAATACAAGAACTGATTACATATCACCCCCAAAGAAATATGCATACCATATGTACAATAACCATAGCTACAATACAAAAAAAGATTGGCATAAATTTTTGCCAAACTATAACTTTCCAAATCAAGAGGTCAATTTTATGACTTGATGTCTTGATGACAGATCTCTCAGGAACTAGTGCAGGCTAAACATTGGAACAGCTGATGATTGTACAACTTAATAAATAATAGGTTAATAAATGATAATGGTATAGTTCATGACTTACCATAACCTCTGGCTACACTATATACTATTTGAAGATTAAATTCCATCATAAAATTGAGGTATATTTTGTCTTTGTTTTCACTATCTCAGTAGAAAAAATAAATTCAGTTTGACTGTATTGTGATGATTTGATCTTCTCATGGTAACTCCTATGGTAGGTAATTTTTCTAGCCTGGAGTTGACTTTCTGGTATGTGCGAGGTCAGGTCTGTAGTTGGGTGTCACTGCAAATGTTGTCACCTTTCACATCTATACATTCTATTACTTCCTGCAATATCAGATAAGATCAGCATGTTGATGGATCCTTTCAGCAGAATACCCTGCTTTACAGGCTCAAAATCAGTTGCATTCTAGTGAAAAAATCCTAGTTTTTTTTTGGTACTTCAGGGTACTCCATAATGTTATAATTAAGACTAGGAAATTTAAGCACACTATAATGAGTAAAATACTGATGGCTTGTTAAAGAACAAGAAAGAATAATGAAGAATTTGATTGTAAATATCAAAAGTCCACATTAAAAATGTAAGAACAGATGAATTCCAGTTGATTAAAAAGGTCAGCTAGGTGTGTAGGTTGAAAAAGGGTTATAACTGCCTGGTTAAATCATTATTCCCCTCCAAAGACTACCTTTGGTGACAGTGTTATAATTTAAATTCTGTTGGTCATGTGACATTTTTATGGGGTTCACTTATCCTCATGCCCGAATTGCCTTTAGAACATGTAATCCTAGCACCCATGGACTTCTTGTTCCAAAAACCTCACTGGGTCTCCATTTGACCAATTCCTTAACCCTTCCATCATGGGTTGGGTGGATACCACCCTGCTCCTAACCAGGAAAGTATCTATGAGAGTAATTGTACTATAATTTTTGAAAATGTACACAAGTCTTTACAGAATTTTGCATATTATTAGTGAACATTACAAGGATTTCATACACCAAATATCTGGTTTATGTTTTTTTATTAAAGATTTGCTTGTGAATTTTTTCTTTCAGAATGTTGACTATCCAATGTAATTTTGATTTTAAGATTAAAAATACATTTCTTTATGTGATATTTGTCAAATTTCATTTGCATAACATCTATATTCTTCTAGATAATCATCAAACGTTTTTTTAATAAAACTTTATATTTAATATGTTATTTTATCAACATTAACTCTTTGCGGTGTTGGTCAATTTGACTGACCTCATAACCATCATAAAAATTAGGAAATAAATCTAAATTACCTTTTCTGTTCTAGAATAACTGCAAATTGTAATAGGAAACCCCAAATGTTTATTCTAAATAGTTTAAATTTTGTAACATTATAAATCTATTTATATTTATTAATTTTTGTTTTATTGACTTTTGAACCATGTCTGACTAAAAAATACACCAACAGAAGTTGAAAATTACATGGTGCACTTGCATTGATATAACCCTATCGAACAGCATAATGCAGAAGCTTCTGGCACGTATACCCCCCCTGAAGGTTTTTATTATTTTTCTTTCATTATTTTACCTAACAACTTTCTATCTTTATGATTTTAGTTACTTTTATAATAATAATAAACAGTTAAATGAAAATAAAAACCTCATAATTAAATATCAAACATTTTTATTTTCAGTAAAGCTTTATATTTTATTTTTTGTGCTGTAACATTATACTTATTTTTCCAGGTTGTAGGTAAGTAATCAAAGTATAACGAAAATAAAGGTTGCAAAATAAAATGTACAGTATTATTAGTAGTGATTACAAAATTTCAGAGTATTAGGGCATCAAGAAGTTAATGGTGCTTTTTTAGATGAAAAAACCCGAACAACTTGTATATCAACATTTATTAAATGAAATAGTTTCCATTCTTATCGATGATGCTTTTCCATCTTACAATCAGGTTGTTAATGCCCTGATTAAAGAAATCAAATATGAAGAAAATTATCACTGTAATTACTATT